GGCCAATGGCGGGCTGGCAGCCCGGAGAGCGGGCGGGCTAGAGGCGCCGCCCCGCCCCGCCCCGCCCCGCCCCGCCCCGCGTGCTCCCGAGGGTCGGGCTGCAGCGCCCAGCAGCCGCAGCTAGCCCGCGGGAAGCGTGGAGCTGGCCGCGCTCCAGGCGTTTGGGACTGCAACTCCCATCAGTCCCAGCCTGCACGGCCTGGGAACACCACTGCCGCTAGACGTAGGCTAACTGCGCCTGAGCTTGGAAGGTTGTGCAAAGTGCGGGCTCTCTTCGGAGGGGACTGCAATTCCCAGCATCCCCGCCCACCCTGGCTGAGGTGGCTGGAAACGGTAGCCCAAACCGCAAACTCTGACACTAGAGCATTGCTGAGGTCTCTCTCCGGTCCACGTATCGTGAGAGAGGAGCCGTGCTGGAGCTCCGGAGCCTGCGTTAAGAGTGCAATCCCGTGCATCGTAGGCAGAAAAGGTCCTGCAACTGCCAGCATCGGAGAACCACCCCGAAGGCTTGTTAGCTTTGAAATAAAATAGGCTAAATCACATACTGCCCAGAAAGCAGAAGGATACACCTCTCTTCCCCATAGCACTCAGCTGGGTTATGCAGTGAAGCTGAACCGTGGGAGATTCTGGACAAAGGATCTGGCTTCTTTGCACAAAGTCCCTCTACGGTTCTTACAGGATTCACGATCGCCATCCACTTGGACAGCTTAAAAAGGATCAGACTAGTTAATGCAGATGAAAGCCGCCTGTGCCTATTATATCTGCTCCGGGATCAGAACCCTCAAATACCCGTCTCCAAGAAAGCTGGGAGGACACGTCACACAACATCCCGCTTGTGGATTTCTTGGCAGAGGCAGCTTGGCCAATGTGGAGATAGGGAGGCTTCTGGCCTGATCCCACAGGGCGCTTATTCTAACAGGCATTTTCACCAGTTTAGAGTGGGTAAGCGCGCAGGGTTGGGACCCACGAGATCTGGGCTCGAGTCCCCACTCCGCCGTGCAGCTCGCACGGTAACTTTGGGCCAGTCACTCACTCTCAGCCCAACTTACATCACAGGGTGGTGGTTGTGGGAATAAGGTGGAGAGAATTATGTAAACTACCTTGAGTTCCTTGGAAAGAAAAAAGGTGGAATAGAAATATGATGAATAAATAGGATCTCTAGGGATTCCAGTTAGGCTGTGGATGCTGCAGTGGTGAGAATGGTGGGCGTGGACACGGGCACATCATCACGAGCAAGTATTTTAACACCCCCCCCCCCACCAGTTGGGAGACACCGCCAGAGCAGCTCAGCTTGAGGCTTCCCAGCCGTGCAGTGTCCGATGCGGCCAGCGCCCAGTGGTTGGGCAGGGCCATAGGTCAGTGCGCCACGCCAAGCCCCAGGTTCATCTTCTGGCATGTCTAAGCTTGGGAAGGATTCCTGCCTGCACCTCTGGAGAGCCATGGCTGCCGGTCAGGGTCCGGCACACTGGGCTGGACGGCCCACGAGTCTGGTCCCGTGCAAAGCTTCCGTCTGTGTCCTTGTCGTGAATCACCCAGAGATCTTTGGCTATGAAGCAGTACAGAAATGGAACAAGCAGCAGCAGCAGCAGCTCCTTGCAACACAGGCCGGCCCGGCACACAAAGGCTCTCTGTCTTTGCGTAATTACTGGCGTGCCTGCTTCTCCCGTTCCCCACGTGGACGTCCCATGCCGCACCGTTTGCCTAATGTCCCTGAAGTACGCAGCCATGTCCTGCGAACCGAGTGAGCTGCACGCGGGGGCGGGCGTGCTTTCGGAAGCACCCCAACCCTCCACGTCATGGCTTCTGGGGTGGTTCGGAAGCCGTCCCTGCCACGCGCCTGAGCGGTTCCGACGAAGCGGCAAGCCACGGGCCACGAGCGTCACTGGGAGTGGGAGAAGCAACACGGCAGCTCGCTTCCCCCGGCAATCCGGGGGCCAACCCGGCCAGTTTCCACGGCAGACCTCATGCAGCTGGCTTTGCCATAAGCCAGCCCAGAAGCACCGAGGGCCCCCAAAAGCCACACGTCCGTGTGCCACCCGTGCGCAAGCGGCACGCTCCCCAGATCTGCACACTCGCGCGGCCCAGCGTCGGAGGACGACGCTCGCCACCCTGGCCCACTTCCCCCTGCTTGAGACAGAAGTCGCACGGGTCGGAGTCCCACCCCGGGGGGGGGAGCGCACGCAACTCTACCTTGAACGTCTCTCGGGCCAGTCTCTTCTCCATTGCGATGCGCCAGACGGCCGGGGCTGCGCGGTCTCGCGCCAGGGCAGCGTGCGTCCAAGTGCTTTCGACTGGCTCCCGAGGCTGGTTAAACAACAACCGGCAGAGCACCCAGGAGCTGGCGTCTGCGCCTGGACGCTCGCCCTCCGCCCCCACCCCCAGGGCTTTGTTTGGTTAGCCCGTGACTCCGGAGGCTGCTCCGCCAAGGTCTCCAGACCTCCTGGCTGTGCTGTTTCGGCGCCTGCGTTTCTCCACGGACAGATACGCATGTGGCACGCACGGGGGGAGCTCCGCTGAACGAGAGCGGGTCTGGGGAAGCGCCTCTCCTCTGGCGGCAGCACACAGCCAGGGACAGCCCTTCTCCGCCACGAATTTGCCCAATTCCCTCGGAAAGCCAGGCAAACTGCTGGCTGCCATTGTGGCAGGAGTTTGGCTAAGCACTGTGTGGGGCCCTCCCTTTTTTCCTGTCCCGAATCTCCCGTCCATCAGCCTCATGGGCTCTAGGAAGAGGAAGGAGCGAGGGAGAGACATCTCCTGCCACGTTCTCCACCGCACACGCAATCCTGGACCCCTCTGTCAGGGTGTCCTTGGCTCCCCATCTTTCTCAGCCAGCTATCTCAGACATTGTACTCCTTCCTCCTAGGGGAGCTGCTCCTGCCCCCCCCCCGACCATGCTCGTTGCCCTTCCCTGCACTTTCCCCAGCTCTACGGTGTCCTTTCTCACGCAGGGCACCCAGATCACAACCCCTGTACACAACAGTCCAGAACAAACCGCACTGCAGCCTTGATCCAGGCCTGTATGAAACTGGCCGTTTTATTTTCGATTCCTCTCCTAGTTTTATGCCTAACGCGGTCCAATCCCCTGAGAAAACTATTCTCTGATGCTCTCGTGGCACCAGGCCTAAGAAACCCGAACGAGTCACATGGTGTACACAGCGCCGACCTCCAGCGAAGCAAAACAGGCAGGTTTCCTCTGCTGCCAACACCACCCGCGGCCTGAGGCTGCCGTGACACCCGCCCCCCTCCCCGCAGTGGCAGGGCAGTCCCCAGGGGCAGTAGCACGTTCTGAAGGCCCTGCTGCCCCCTGGGAGAAACACACCGCCATGGGCAACTGTCCCATCGAGCGTCTGTATGGACACACTCTCACTGCAGCGCTGGGCACTGCCCTGGGAGGGAGAGGCGGGAGACCCTGAAAACACGCGTTATTCCCAGAACACCTGGGGGTAGAAAAAGGGGGGTCCAGAGGGACTGCATGGAATTGTGTTTCGCACCAAGTTGTGCCGTCTACTTCTGAGCAGGAATGCCTAAAATCTTTTTTTGTCCCAAGGGCAGAACCCAAGTTCAGAGACAAGCGTGGGAACTGCATTCCAGGGTTGCAGGGTGGGGCGAGGCCAAAAACACCCGCTCGCCATCACTTTACGCTCTTCTGGTCTTAAAGGGAAGCACTTCCGCCATTTAGGATGAGGAAAGACACTGGGCAGAGGTCTGGAAAGCAGCAACCATCAGTGGTTAAGGCCTTCGCATCAGAGGGACCAGGTTGCTGGTGTTTAAGCGGCTTAGATGCTGCTCAGCATCCTCCCAAGGGATGTCGACCAAGAATCCAGCTGCTTTCCCGTGAGAGAAAGTGTCCAGCTTGCCCCTCATCAGAATGGCATTTGTTTCTTTGAACAGTGTTATCAAGGAAATGTACCTAGTTCCCCCTTTGATCTTCACAATGATCCTGTGGGGTGGGACTGGTATTAGGGAAAGAGAAGTGATTCAGAGTCACCCAACGGCCACCAAAACCAGGGAGCGGGGCGGATTTGAGCTCAGATCTCATCTGACCATGAAACACAGCAAAACTTGGTTCATGTCTGCAATCTAACAAAGCAAGGGGGTCCCACACAGTACAGGAGAGGAAAGGCAATATCTTTAATTTCATTTTAGATCATTCTTCATAGTACTACTGGGGAAAAAAAAACAGCCAACAGAACATGATGAGGTTCAGTAGGGATAACTCTCTCGCCTGTACCTGGAATTTTCAGGTCTTACCAGAGCAGAAGGAAAAGAAGCTCTTTCCCATGCTTGCTAGGTCCAAGGAATTGAGCATTCATTGCTGCTGCTAAATAAAAAAAGGTGATGCCAAGCAAGAGACATTTTGACGGAGCTAAGTCGCAGCAGCATGGGGGGAAGGTCTCCAGACATCAGAGTCCTCCAAGGAAAGCAAAAAACCCCCAAGCTTGTGGGGTGAGACCGGGCACTGAGAAGGCCAAGCTGATGTCCAGCCCGTGGTAAATGAAGGAAGAAAAGATACAGGTTGGGTTCCAGAGCTAATCATGTACTGTGAACCTGCCTGGTTCCCAGCCAGTGAAGTCTGGAGCTGCAGCCAGGCACTGGGGGGGGGGGGGGGGGGACTTGCCCAGGGAAGGCTGGGGCAAGCTGGGTGGAATCAAGCAACGTCACTCAAGACCTAGCGAGGGTTTCCTTGATTTCAGAGAGTCTGACCTGTGGCGTGCCTAAACCGGGCTCCAATTCTGGGAAGGGAGAACGCCCAGCGCCTTGTTCCACCACACAACGGATAGCTGGTGCGTAGCGGCAGCAGGAAACTCCGCCAGCTGCTTACAGACCCAAACCAACAACGCGATGCAGGCAGAGCTTCCTGAACCAAGCGGGCACCCCCTTCCCGAGAAGATCCATGCCCACCCCCTCTTCCCGACTCAGCCCTGTGGCTGCTCCACCCGTGCTGTGCGACACCACAGGGCCGTGGGGGACTCGGCGCACACCCCACCCGTCAGTCCCGAAAAGCCGGGGCGGGGCGTTTGGCGAGGGCCACCCACTTGCCTGGCTCGGGAAGTCCGGCAAGGCCCTTCAGCTCCAGGAGGGGGAAACGAGGTCATTTCGGCACCTTGGAGAGCAGCGGTGCATCAACTCGACAACGGCTGGGCAGAGAGTTCGGTACCTTTCCGTGCGGCTCGGCTCCACGGCGCCTGGACAGGGGCTCTTTTCCACGAGGGAGTGGATGCGGTCCCAACTCAACTCTGCGGTGATCCCATCGAGGAAAGTCGGGGGGACGGGGTGGAAAAGGGCACAGAACCTCCCAACGGAATCCAGACTGCCTCTTCCTCCGCCGTCAGAAGACTCGGTCGTACTCTGCCTGGTTGGTCGCCGCCGGATTCCTGCCCTGATTGGCCGGCTGCTGCGGCATGTGCCCGCCTCGCCTCCTGGGGGGAGCGAGGTACTCGAACATGGACTGGCTGTGGGTGGACAGCATGTTCTTGAGGTCAGAGGGCATCGGGTCGGACCAGAAGAAGTCGTGATTGAGGGCATCGTCACTGTCTATCCTCTGGGTCGGGTCGAGCACCAGGAGTTTGTCGATGAGATCCAAAGCGTAGGGATCTTTCACGTAGGCCTTCAGCCGCTCCTTCACCTTGCGCTTTTGCCCTTTGGGCAGTTCCAGCTTCTGGTAAAGTTCGTATTTATCCACGTTGGGCCAGACCTAAAACGTTATCGGCAGGAGAGAAACAGCAGAGAGAGAGGAAAAGGAGTCTTGCCTCAGGTTCAAAAGATTTCAGATTCAAAACGCCTTCCTTGGTTTGTTTCAGCCCATTTTATAAGCGCTTTTTCCCCCCATCGGGAAACGCATCAGCACTGTAAAGATAAACATTGCAAGCCCTCACTTAGACTACTGCCATGGGACCACCCTTAAAGACTGTCTGGAAATTGCATTTCAAATACAGCTGCTAGGTTGCTACACTGGAACCCCCATCTCAGGGAGTTCTCCGCATCAAGACTCCATGCACCATTTCAGCTGTTGATGCACTTCTTCAAAGAATCGGAAGCCCTGAGAGCAGGAAACCTGGAAGTGGAGCTGCTTTTCAAAGTCCAGAGGAAAAAAGAATGGACTTAAAAAAATATTCTACTGGACTGGACGCTGAATGTACCCCTCAGCCAGGGGATCAGCTTGGGTTAATAGTAACATATACCGAAAAAGAGCAAAAGGAAGAGCACCTATTTAAATACACCACCCCACTCTTAGCCTAGAACTCCTAAAGCCATGACTTACTAGATGCGCTCGGACAGGGACCTACAGAGCTTCTTCCACTTCAGGTCCCTGGGTGTCGGACTGCAACTCCTATCATTCCCAACAAGGGTCATCGGGCGACTGGAACCCATGCTTGGCTGCAGGGGCAGGGGCGCAACGAGGATGGTGTCTTCAGACCAGCCTGCCCCAGTGTGGTGCCTCCCGGACTGGATCTCCCATAATCCCCCACCTATTTCCTCCTGGGTCCTGCCTGCGAAGGCCTCCAGGACCTACCTCTGGGGTGATGGAGCCGCAGAGCTGACTGATGAGCGTCAGCTGGTGCTGCTCGGTGTTCCCCTGCATGATGGGGCTCCGCGTCCACATCTCGGCCATGATGCAGCCTGCGCCCCAGAGGTCGATGGGGGGTCCATAATCGCGTTCTCCTAACAGGAGGATCTTTCATTAATCTTGGTAGACCAGGACTGGGCAACCCCCTCGATAAGAGATCGGCGGCAGAGGCCCTCCTCCGGGAGCCCTCCGTGAAGGACATTAGGAGGGTGAGTACCCGGAGGAGGGCCTTCTCTGTGGTGGTGCCCCACCTGTGGAATGCGCTCCCCAGAGAGGTCCGCCTGTCCGTCGTTATTTGCTTTTCGGCGCCAGGCCAAGACCTTTTTATTTAAACGTCATTTTAATTGTTGAATTTGTTGATTTTATATTTATGCCGGGATGTCTCCAGATTTTTATGTAACAGTATAGTTATTTATTTGTATTGGAAGCTGCGCCGAGGCTTTTGCGAATGGGGGGGCATAAAAGTGTTCCAAAATAAATGAATGAATGAATGAATGCAATGCAATGCAGCTTTAGTCACATCTGCCATGCGCTGCTTACCAGGCCGAGCTCAAAACGCTGGCTTCATATTTTGGAAGCGCAAAATAGGCAAGGCGCCAGCTTCTTTGTTTACAGAAGGCATTTATATACTGTTATTATTTAACTACTTCAATGCTATACCGCCCCACAGCCAAAGCTCTCTGGGATGTTTACGCAGTCCATAGAAGCAGGTGATAAAACTGTCATTGAAATATCAGACTAGATATGTACAAGTTTACAACAGCTAAAAAGCAGGTAATAAAAACAGACAGTAACAAGGAAGCAAAACAGCTGGTGATTTCCTCGCTCTGCTGGGTGGTCAAGCAAGCCTTTAAAAGCCTCAGAAAAGAGGCCAATTTAAGCTGGTGCTCAAAAGGTGTCCGATTTGGTGCCCGCCAGACCAGTGGAGAAGTTATTCCATAGCTGGAGGGGCCCCCACAAAGGAACCCCCCCCCGTTGCCACCCTCTGCCATTCCCTCAGAACTGCCACTCAGAAGGAGGCCTCATCTTGTTCCTCATATTTATACCAAGCCAGCACACGATGCAAATTGAAAACTAAGAAGCATAATACAATCTAACCGGTCTACTAAAATAATAAAGACCAACTGAATGCAGTGGGACGCGTCTCAGAGAACTATTTAAGACGGCCGCGTTTGTGTACTGTTATTGTCCCTCTATGAGCTAACAAAACCTGACGACGCAAACAGGAAAGAAGAGCGACCTTTTGCAGGTACCAAGGAAGAGGCCGTCCCCTCCCCTCCTCCGTTGTTCACTCACCCAGAAGCAGCTCCGGCGGCCGGTACCAGAGAGTCACCACCCGGTTGGTGTAGCGGTTCGGCTGGCTGTTCTTGGCGAGGCTGAACGCCCGGGCCAAGCCGAAGTCGGCCAGCTTCAAGACGCCGTCCCGCGTGATGAGCACGTTGGCGGCTTTCATGTCTCTGTGCAAGATCTGGAGGCGGGAAAAGCAGGCGGCTTCTTTGGGAAACGGTGTCAGGAAAAGCCACAGGCTGGGAGCGAGCGAAGCTGCCCTGGGGTACGGAGCCGACCGGGTGCCCTCTGGACGTGCGGGGCGATGACGCAACTCCCAGCATCCCTCACCTGGGGAGTTCTGGGAGCTGTAGCCCACCTGGAAGGCACCCCGCGGTGGGAGGCCGCTGTATTTCGGTCCCATCAGGAGCCCCGGAAGTGTCGGGCGGGGGAAGTGCCTGCTCACCTTGTTCCGGTGGATGTAGTACAGGCCGTTCAGAAGCATCTGCATCACCTTCTTGATCTCCGAGAGGGTGAACTTGACGTGGGCGTTGCTGAGGAGCCCGGCCAGGTCGTGCTCGCAGAAGTCAAAGACCAGGTAGATGCTTCCCTTGCAGCGGTTGTACGGAGAGGCTGCGAGGGCCCAAAAGGAAAGCCGCTGCCACCCGGAGCCTCGCCTGACCCTGAGCAGCAGGTGGCGGGCCTGGTGGCCGGTCCGATAGCTGCCCGGCCACTGATGGCATGGCTTCGTGTGTCGGCGGAGCTCCATGCGGGAGAGGGGGGGTGAAGGGCACCTGGGTCCAAGCGCCCTGCACCCCGCAAACCAGCAGCATGCGTGCGCATGGGCCTCCTAAAGCGGAAGCACCTTCTCCTCTCACAGAAGCCGGCCCGCCCCCGCCCGTGGAGACACCAGCTCTGCAACCCAAAACCCCTGGAGGGCACCGGATTCGGAGAGCCTGAACGAAATGTTTCATGCTGTACCTTTGGTCCTGCAGATTTCAATGAGATTCACGACATTTTCATGCTTCAGCAGCTGGAGAATTTTGATCTCCCGTAGGGCTGTGATTGGGAACTAGAGAGAAAGGCAGACCGTGAGACCACTGGGGGAACACCCCAAACATGCGTGTAACCACTCCCTACATGGCACCCTGCTGGATGGAGTGAAGCACAACTCCCATCAGCCCTGGCCAGCCAGCATGGCCAATGCCTTATGGGAGCTGTACCGAGTCCAGGGGAGCAGGCGGGGACAGAAAGTCAGATAAACAGGTAGGCACTCCTTATTCCCCTGAGCTGGGGAATTACCGGATTCTCCTAGAACTTAAGACATAGGAGCCCGGCTGGCACCTTCTACCACAAAGCCCTAAGCTCGGAACTTTGAGCAGTGCCAAACTGAAGGTTCTGGATTTAATACCAGGACTAACCTGGAACGAAGCACCTGACAGAGCTCGGGATGCTGCAGAAGCCCCCACCTCCCCTCACCGGCACAAGATGTTCTCACTGGCTACACATGCGTAGGACTGAGCCTTGATTTACACTGGGAAAGGGCGGGTGTGGGGAAGGCAAGAAAAGGCACGGGAGAACTGGCAAATCTTTGGAAACAGCACCTTAGGCCAAGAAAACACGAGTTAGCTAAACCCACAGACGTTACCTAAGTGGGCTTTTTAAGCAGGGTGGGACGGGACAGTGGCCTTGAATCACCAGGCAAAAAGAGGAACACAAACTCTCATTGTACCTGCGCCCACACCCACTTTTACAAGCATTTTTTTAATCTGCAGTGCAGTGAGCCTCCTTCGCTTCCCATCGGCTGGCTGACTACTTCGCTTAGCCCTCTGTGCCTGGGAGCGAGAAGCCCAGCCAATGCTGTGTCATCTAATTGGGGAGGAGCCCCCCCCACAACGCAAGACAGGGCACGCAGGATGTATAGCAAGCGCGTGCAGGCCGCTCTTTTGCCAACGTTTTCGCAGGCAGCTAGAGAAGAAGAAGCATTTCTTGACGTCTGAAGAAGCACCAGACTGGCCAGCAACTGCACCGAAGTCGCATAAACCTGCACCAGTCGCATAAACCGAAGTCGCATAAACCTGAATTTTCTGGGATCCCACCTGGGAGACATATTCAAGCTGTTTAATTTTCCATCCTCACAACTCCCCCCCACCACCACCACATGCAAATAAAAATAAAAACCACCGTGCGAGCTTACCCCTTCTTTTTCATTCTCCATCAACACTTTCTTCAGGGCCACTTTTTTACCCGTCTGGCGATGCTTTGCTTTGAACACCTCCCTGTAGGATAAATGGAGGCAGAATTAAGATTTACCAGGCGGTGACCACGGGGAATTGAGACAGAGACTACCTTTCTGCACAGAGAGCGGCCTTGGCTGGCCCATGCCAGGCGTGGCACGGAACCTCTGCTGGGTGCAAAGGGACGCCCGACGGAACGCCCAGCCTCGGAAGCAATCCGAAGCAGAATGCCAGTTGCTGGGAGACTAACCGTAGAGACGAACAGCACCGGGCTTCTGGAAGACAGTAGCTTAAAGCCCATGTTGGGGATCCGAGAGCATCTTTGAATGTGGAAGGGGGGGGGGCTGCCTTAGGTGACCCTCTGTTTTCTATTGTCCCAGTGTGACTTTTCTAGCTGTGAGTATTACAGAGACAGGCCTACACCGCATGTGAAAAGGGACACAGGAGGCATCTTCAGCCAGGTAAGAATTCAGAGCATGGCTTCCTAGCACACAGACCTGGAACCAATAAGACTTACTTCTGCTAGGCATGCTGTGGATCATTTGTCATGATCAACCCGCTGCGGTTTCCAGGCGGGTGAAACAACAAGAGGAGCTGCCTGTTATTTAGGGCTGATGAGCATCATAGTCCCAAACACCTGGAAGGCCCACGGCTGTGTAAAGCAATGCCACTGAATATCCAAAAAGCCTCAAAGCCCACAGAGGCATTTGACTTTTAAGCAGACATTTGGGCTGCATGTGATTCCAGCTCTACCTTCTTTTTTTCATTTTGCTCCAAGGATTTCACACTCTGAAGAAAGCAGGGCGAGTCGCCCACAGAGGAGACAGGTAGCAAGAAAGCAAAAAAGACCCCGGGGACGGGGAGGGGAGGCAGTGCGTAGAAGAGACACTGCGAAGCAACTCTTTAGAGCCCAGTGTGCTGTTAGGGAGGGAAGGAAAGGCAGGAAGAAGACAAAGCCAGGAAAAGTAGATGCCAGAGGTGAAAGGTGACTTTAGCTTAAAGGGGTAAGTAGCTAAGGGAGACACTGGGGACTCCTGGAGAGACCACCTTCTGCAGGTAGGAGAGTATTTGGTGGGAGATATTAGGCAGGAAGCAGCTCGGGGGGATATCATTGCCGCTTACCATGGGCATTTAGAGCCGCTTACCATTTAGAGCCGCTTACCGCTTACCATGGCAAAAGACGGGGAGCCGGGTCAGGAGGCGACTGGGAGCCATAAGGAGCTAGTGTGGTGCACTGGTTAGAAGGGTGGGAGGAGGGAGACCCGGGGTCTTAGCCCCCACACAGTCACGAAGCTCCCTGAGTGCCTTTGGGCGAGTCAGTGACTCTCGGCCTAATCTACCTCACAGGGGTGTTGCGAGGATTAAACGGAGGAAAGACTCCTGCAAGCTGCCTTGGACTGCTTGCAAACAGGGTGGAACACCCATCTAGTGATGCATTCTTTTCGGCACACAGCCAACCCCTTTTTATTTTCCCAGCATTTTAAGATTTAAATGGTTATTTTAATCGAGGTTTTATAGAAGATGATCCTGTGCTTTAGTTTGTTTTACTGTAAAACCGCCCTGAGACTCTTGGTAAGAGGATGTATAGAAAAGCTTCAACTAAATCGATAAATGTAACTAAATCGAGGCTTTCTGCGATGGGGGCGTCATAACAATGTTATAAATAAATAAATAAAACAGATAAATAAATAAAAATAAAGGGAGGGACAAGAGCCAGAGAGCCTCCAGAGAATGCAAGCAGGGGAGCGACGGAGGGGGCGACAGAGAGAGAAAAGATTCTTGGGGAAGCCTAAGGAGCAGGGAACTGGGGGAGCCTTAGGGTAAATTTTATTAATTCATGTGTTTGTTTAACGCTTGTCTATCCCCCCCTTCACCGTGTCGCAGGGCGGTGCCACAATGACACTCAAGGAAGTGCAGCGGGAGTACACAGACCCACGAACGGGGGCTGCCAACGGAGAGCGAGGCTGGGGGAAGCCCCCCGGGGTCGCCGGCCAGGAGGGGAGCTGGCTGTGCCTGCGCGCCGGGCCGGCGGCCTACCTCGCGGGGACGCTGTGCGGGCGCGGCGGGCGGGGCCGCGAGTCCCCGGGCCGCGTGCACGGGGGGGGCGGCAGGGGCGCCGCCCGCCCGCTCGCTCACTCACCCGAAGGTGCCCTGCCCGATCTTGGCCAGCTTCTCGTACTTGGAGACCTCGTCGCAGTAGGGGCACTCCACCGTGTCGTACTGCTTGGCCATGGCGGCGGCGGCGGCGCCCCCCGCGCCGTCTTCTGGCTGCCGGCGGCCTCCGTCCGAGGGGCGCAGGGGCGCGCTTCCGGGCGCGCTTCCGCCCGGCCGCTCCATTTCCTCTTCCTCCGCCGCCGCCGCCGCCAGGCCCGCGCGCCTGCGCCGGATCCGGGGCGCCGCCGCGGGGCACGCCGGGAGGTGTAGTCCGGGCGGGCGCGGCGCGAACGGGGCGGAAGCGCCCTCTGGGAGGGGCGGACGGCAGAGCCCCCTCTGCAGAGCGTGGACTGCAACTCCCATCAGCGACTCGGGGGCGGAGGGCTCCTCGCCTTCCTTTCTTCCCCTGTCTGCCTTTGCCTGACAGGCAGAAATCCAACCGGTGCAGAAGTCACGAGATAGCCGGACTTGGGCGAAGTCGCGCCTGGTGAAGGGCTGCCTGCTCAGGGCAGCGGGGCAGCCTCCGAGTCCTGGGAATCGCCCTTTCCAGAGCTCCATCCTGCATTTCGGATTTTGTTTTTCTTTGTTTTTTGGCCCCTGGCCAAGACCTTTTTATTTAAACGCTATTTTAACTGTTAATGGTTTACTTGTTGACTTTAAACTGACCAGGTTGTTTCCACTATTTTATTTTATGCATTTTATTTATTTGATTAATTTTTTTGCATTTTATACGGGATTTTAATGATTGTAAGCCGCCCCGAGGCTCATGCGATGGGGCGGCATATAACTTGTCTAAATAAATAAATAAATTTTTCTTTCTTCTTTCCAGACCAGCAAACTGCAAGGGCAAAGTCCGTCTTTTTGAGGGATGTGAGAGGAAGCTGAGCTGGCTCTGCACCAGCTTTGTGCCCGCCGTGGCCACCCGGCCTGCTCGCTCAGGGACGCCACCAGCAGATGCGAGGCCAGGATACCTCCCGCAGCTCCTCCCGCAACTGGGCTCCAGTTGATTGTTCCCATTTTTTTTCTGAGCCTCCGCAGGCTGCTTTTCTCACCTTCACATTTGATCAAGAGGCTGTGTTTCATTTTACGTTTTGCCTTACTGTTAAACCATCCCGAGACTTCGGCAAGGGACAGTCTAAAAAGTTTTAAATAAATACATAAATAAATAAAATCCCAGTACTTTTACATTCTTCAGTGCCCGTCTTCGGTTTCCATGGGGCAAGGGCATTCTCCTAGAGGAGCGGCGGCCAAGCTCAGCTCCAGCATCGCTGCCCATCCCTCAGGGTTTGGGGGACTCGCTTGCTTGAACCTGGGCAGGCCCACTTCCTTCCTCCTGGGCCCCCAGCATCTCCTGACGTTTCCTCCCTAGTTCATCAGCTCTTTGGCAGAGGAGATGCATAACAATGGCCGCATTTGTTCCCTGGACCGAAGGAAGTCTGGGGTTCCTGCCATTGGGCAGTATTTGCAGTGCTGGTCACATCACAACGGAGGCTGAGCTTAGCAAGGACCTGCAGCGAGGCCCTAAACTGCAAACTGCACATGGCCGGAGGCAAAAAAATGGAAAGACAACCCCAAAAGGTGGCAAACCAGTGGCAGTTGCTCACAGTTGCTGTCCGCGATGGATACGTGGTCTGTCCAAAGAATGGCAGGAGGGCTTCGCCACATAACACCAAGCGCCGATAATGCAATCAGATGACACAACCCACCATGGCTCGAACAGCCCCCAGAACAAGCCATGGTTTGCTTGGCTGACTTGTCCCCCCCAGGTAAAGTGCTCTGCAGGAAGCCATCTGGGTTTGGATGACACAGTTCCTGCTCCGACGTGCAATGCACAATTCGTGGCTGTGTGGTCCGAATACAGCCACTCTTTCGTGAAGGCCCTCCCATCTGGAAGAGCCCAAGATTAGATGTGGCCGACACATCTGTTTCGAATACTGATGCACATCTGGACACATCTGTGTTAAGATGCAGGTGCTTTTCTCAGATATGCATGGGGGAGCCTGTGAAATATTTTTTCCATAGGTCCTGTTGTAGTTCTGCGTAAATTTGCAGTATTTTATCTCTACAGTTTTAGAATCTGATCTTGGTATGTAGGAGAAAGGGAGGCGAAGGACCACCAGACATTCCACCCCAGTGCCAAAGGATGAAGCCAAGTAGAAACATAGCTTCCTTCTCCTCCTCCTTCTATGTCAAGTGTTCATTTTATAGTGATTTTTTTTTAAAGAAAAGACCAAATAGAGAGAGAGAGGGATGCTGAAGACACTTGTGGGCTTGGTCTCTTGTTTGGCAATGACAGAGGAAATGCGAGCGCAAAATAGAAAGCGAGATTGGTGTGGGGGAGGGTGTGGGAAAGGAAGGGAGACAGGGCTCAGGAAGGGCTCGATGAAAGCTGCACTTTTGCAGAGCTCTCCTTCCAGCAGTGCCTCATCAGAACTTGAAAGATGGCTGACAGCCAGAAGAAAGCAGGCTTCAAAAGTAAGTAATGCGCAGCGCACAGGTGCCGTCTTGCGGCGGCTGACCTCCACACCTCAGCACGCCGGAGGAGAGGAAGGTGTCTGCATGAGATCTCCGTCACGGAGGGCACGGTGGCCGCGCCTGGACTGTGAAGGCCAGGTTGCTGTTGCATGTCCTTGGCTAGCGGGGTTCCTCTGCCTTTGGCGAGGGCCTGACGGGCAGCGGCTCCCGCATGCCTCCGTGGGGGCTGGCGACCCAGACGTTGCCAAAGGCACCAAGGCAAAATGCGGGCACCTCCTGGCTTTCCTTGCGGGATGTGACTTCCCCCCGAGCGGCCTGGGAGAGGAGGAAGGAAGAGCTGCCTTGCCTCCTGCCTGGGCAGAACCTGGGCAGCCAAAGCATGCATTGCTTCGCCTACGGATAATGCCGAGTTTTTTCCTGGAATTGTGTTGGAGAGAATTAAAGGTGTTCAGGTCACACGGACTGCAGCATTTACACGCCTCTCGTCCGATCTCTTTGGGCCGTTCAGATGTTTTCACTGAGTGTATAGAGCAGGGGTCAATGAGCTGATGACCTCTGTGTGTCAGAATCAAATTAAATTAATAATGAGGAAGAGGCGTGCAAGAGAGACAAGGGATGATGCAACTGGAGAGTGAATTTTAGGTGCAGTGGCTGATGGGATTTGTTCCAACAGCATGGGTCGCTTGCCATGTTGTGTGAACTGATTCCGTGACCAGGTTCAGACAATACAATAACCCCTACGTACTGTAAGGTTTCCATCTGGGTTGAGTATGGGTTACCATTAAAACATGGGTTATTCCATTGCCTAAACTCGGCTGAGATAAACTCTCTCTCCTTCCAGAGAGATGAACAAGCCACAGGTTCTTGTCATGGGTAGCCTGTGGTCAACCTGGATTCAGACAACACTACAACCCACGTTTCAGCAACTGCCTCACGGCTCAACGACAACCCGCACTCAAGCACTGAGTTGAGCTGAGAGGGCTGTGCAGGGTTTCGGGCAGGGGTCTTTCCCAGCCCCTCCTGGAGCTGCTGGAGATCCGGCAGCCGCCCCGCCTGTGCCTCTTCTGTGCACCTCCTGCCTGCCAGGAGGGGCTGAAAGGAGCGAGCGTGTCCAGGGGTGATTGTAAACACGGGTCCCATTAGCACATCCCCGAGCATGTGAACAGCTGCCAGCAGCAAGAGGAAGCAGCGGCATCACAAGCCCGGGCGGCGCAAAGCACCTTCCCCCAGGATGTGGGCAGATGCTAACTGTGTCACGGTGCAAGCTGAGCTCCAGCAGCCTTCGGGGTGTGCTGAAACTCATGCAGCCAGCCTCCGTATCAGCAGGCACCGCCCTTGGCACCCTGCAGCCCTCCGCTGCCTTGGTTTGCAGCCCCCACAATCCCCCAGCCGGCTATGGGAATGATGGGAGCTATTGGGAGAAGGCATGATGGGAGAAGGCATTTCAGGCCACTAGATCTCACTGAGGCAGGCACCACACGTCCGTCCTTCCTTCCTTCCTTCCTTCCATCGCTGTTCTGCAGTCTATACAACCTCCCGCTGTTCTCTCTCGGCCTTCCTGCAGTGGCACCCAGCCGTGGGCCAAAGGACTAGGAATGCCCTTCAGCAAAGTCCGCCCTCTCTTTGAAGGCCTTCTCCGAAAGGCTGTCAAGTCCAAGTTTGGTTTGAAAACGAAGAGCCGCGGCCATACTTAGCACTTGGAGAGCTGAACGGGCAGTCCATCTGGGCACAGTCTTCCCCACGGTGGCAAAATTATACTGTTATTTTTACTAAATTTGTTCCTGCACATCTAAATCAGGCCATCCAAAATTAATGCAAATCCCACTCCCCCCCCTTTTTTATCCCTTCTTTTTTAGCAGTGTGCAAGCAGGCAGCCTAGACGGAGCACTAATTTATAGCTCATTATGCTTTTGAAAAACCTTCTACACTTGTTTCATGTGAAAATGTTCACTTTGAAGGAAGAAGAGGCTGGCAGGATTCTCGCCCATGGCCCGACCTCTGATCCAGACTGGGAACCCATGAGGCTGCTTTCCCGTCAATCTATGACTGGCTTCAGACAACACAATAACCCAGACTCAAGGGCTGAATGTGGGTTGTTCTCGCATTGTCTGAACCCAGCTGCGATAACAAGCCATGGCTTATTGACCACGAACAACCCAGGAAGATAGCTGGCTGTTGGGCTGTGAGCTGTTCCCCATGGTTTGTTATCTCAGACAGGTTCAGACAACATGATAACCGGTGTTTCAGTGACAGCCCCTGCACAGCCCTTGAGAGTGGGTTCTCATGTCATCTGAATCCAATCGCGCTGTAACCCCCCGAAGTCCCAACCTCCCCCAACCAGCCATGTTTCCAGAATGTCTCTGGCCAGCTGTGCTTCCCAGCATCTTCCAGGATGCGGTCGCCTCCAAAAGTGACTCTCTCCTCGTTTTCCTCTTCCAGAGCTGTTTAAATTTAAAGGCTTTGGGAGCTTCACCAGCCTCCCTCGGGCTTTCACCTTCCGCCGCGTCTCCGTCGCCCCCAGCCCAGCCGAGACCCCCAGTGGGGTGCTTCTGTCCTCCAACAGCTTCCTGGTGCCCACCTTTCACACCACCCAAGATGACCTGAACACTGTACCCAAAAGTCCCTCCACCTACGCCCGGTCGTGCGACCTGTACACCTACATGGGGACGATGCCCAGGGCCGGCTCTGGACGGAAGAAGGCCAAAGCCAAGAAGACGAGCGCTTCATCCGGGGACCCCGAGCCTGGCGCAAAGGTTGTGCAAGCTCCCCTGAGCGACGCTCCCTTGGCAGGCAAGGGCACGGAAGGCACAGTGAAGGAACCGTCCAAAGCCAGCCCCCCTGCGGCTGGCGCGCCGCCGATGCAGCCTGCCGTGGCGAACAGCGCTCAGGAATGTCTTCCTGGGCCCCAGGAGGATCCTCCAGACCTTCAGGAGAACCTGGAGAGGCAGAAGCAGGACCTTCCTGAGGTGTCCGAGAAGCTCCCTTTGGAGAGTGCACAGGATGACCTGACCGTGGTGCCTAAAAGTCCGTCTCCGTGCGCTCACTCGGGAACGTTGCCGAGGGCCAAACCTGGCCTGGGTGAAAAGGACCAGGAGAAACCGCCCCCAAGGAATAAGCAGGAGCAGGTGCTGGCTACTGGGGAGACGGTCCAGGAAGACCAGGACACGGAAGCCCTCAGCAGACACGCCGGGAGGGGTGATGAGCAAGCCGCCGACATGAACATCCCTCAGGTGGACTTGGAGCAAAGGTAAGATGATGTGTCCGTCAGAGGTGGGACTAGAACCCGGGTCTCCAGAATCCCACTCCAGTCCTGGAACCATTACGCCACGTTGGAAAGGCCACGTGTGTGCGGGCAAGTCCGGAGCAATCCGGCCACCATCTCGGGGAAGCAGTGCCACGCTGATTTGGGGCGCTCTTCTGGCCAACCACTCCCATTCTCCCCAGCCATCCCAGCCAAGGGCGGTGGGCCCCAGCTCCTCAGGGAAGGCTTTGCCGCCAAGGTGCTGGGGTTCTGAACAAAGGTGGGACACCCATGCCACAACCCATAACTAAATCATAGTATATGTATAATAATGTACTCTGGGGTTGCTCAGATTTTCAGATCCCAGCCCAGAAACGGGGGTCTTGAAGGAGCATCATCTGCCTCACGCTCGCTCACGAGGCTTGTTTCCCTGGCGCTCAGCCGGCTGCAGATCCCAAAAGCATGTTAATGGGCAGGAATGTCTTGTAGCTCCAGGCCTCACATTCCAGGGAAGGAAGGAAGGGAGGGAGGAGGGAGGAGGGAGGGACAGAGACCCGAAGGGAGGGACTCCGTGTCCAGTGCGCACTTTCGCGAGTTCAGTGCAGGCAGAGGAGGCGAGCCAGCCACAGCTGGGGCACTTGCGCTGCACGGGCACCGGTTTTCCCACCTGAGGGAAGGGGCGCCTTTTCCCAAAAGGTGCAGCCAGGCAGGAGAGATGATGATGGAGGTGGGGAGGAGATATCACACCCTGGGTCATGTCAGGTAAGCTGTCCCGGCACCTGCTTCCCGGCTATCTCGCCGAGGAGGAGACTCGGAGGGATCGGGTATTGTGATGCTGCCTCATACTGGGTCGGAGCATTGGCTGATTTGGCTAGGAGCGGTTCACACCTGTGGTATCTGAGAGGAGGTCTTTTCACAGCCCCACCTGGAGACGCTGTGAACTGAGCCCGGGACCTTTTGTATGCACATCACGTGCTCCACTGCTGAGCCACTGTTCTTTAGCCAAAAATAAAGCAAGGTTCTAGTCCTTTGGGTTCTGAATAAAGGTAGGATGTTGCCTTATAGAAAGTTGTCCATCTCTGTGGGTTTCGGGCCAGGTCTTTCCCAGCCCTAAGTGGAGGGGCTGGTGACCAAACACGGGACGGCTACATGCGACAGAGGAGGTGTGATTACTGGTAAATGAAAGTTGGTCGCCACAGGAAGGTCAAGAGAAATGGCTCAAACGTTCGAGTCTAATTTATTTTAGCCTGCGCTTTCATGGGCAGGGATCGACTTCCTCAGATGCCCTTCTAGTGAGCTGATGCTGTAACTTTGCTCTCGGGAGCAGAGAGGAAGAGAGGCAGAAGTACCAGGGAGACGCAGAGGCAATGGAGGGACTCTGACCTGACCCGGTCTGGGGTGCGCTTCACATGCGCGTGGTTTAGTAGCTGATGTGCAAAACTGACAGAGTGGGGGAAACGTCCCTCCACATATGGAGAATACGTCGCTTGCGATGAGCAGGATGAGCTGGGCATGTAGAGAAGCCGCTTTAAAAAACACGTGCAGATGTTCGGTTGGGGGTCCACCCACATGCGGCAAACTGGGCGGGAATCTTAGGGTGGGTTTTTGCTGCAGTGTGTGTGTGTGGTTCACTGTAAGCCACCCCGAGGTTTCGGCAAGGGGCGGCATAGAAATGTTATAATAATAATAATAATAATAATAATAATAATAATAATAATAATAACAACAACAACAACAACAACAACAACAACAACTCTTGTTGTTCTGTCGCAAAGTCATGCCCAACCCATCGCAACCTTATGGACAACATTCCTCCAGGCCCTCCTGTCCCCCACCTTCCCTCGGAGTCCCTCCAAGCCCACACCCTCCACCCCAGTGACCCCGTCCGGCCACCTCGTCCCCTTCTCCTTTGGCCCTCAGTCGTTCCCAGCATCAGGGGCTTCTCCTGGGAGTCCTTCCTCCTCATTAGGTGGCCGAAGTATTTGAGTTTCATCTTCAGTACCTGGCCTTCTAAAGAGCAGTCAGGGTTGATCTCCTCTGGGACTGACCGGTTTGATCGCCTTGTGGTCCAGGGGACTCGCAGGAGTCTCCTCCAGCACCACAATTCAAAGGCCTCAATCCTTCGGCGCTCGGCCTTCCTTATGGTCCAGCTTTCACAGCCATACATTACATACGGATAAACCATTGCCAATCCATGATGCAAATCGGTGTGATGTTGCGTTTAGTGCTGGCCTGCAGCTGGACTGGGTGACTTTGGGTCAATCGTTCCTTCTCAGCCTAACCTACCTCACAGGGTTGTCGTGGGGATCAAATAGGGAGGAGGGGAACATATAAACCTCCCTGGGTTCCTTAGAGGGGAAAAAACGGTGGGATAGAAATGCAATCATAAAAACATAAAAAATGAAAACCAGTCAACAGAGGCAGAGCATTTGTGTAGCCCCGCATCCACAAATGGCCCTGATCCAGGGGAGGTTACCACACCTAAGCTCTGTGGGAAAGTGATGAGTTTGAAAATAATCGCAGATAACGTCATCCTCTCCAGTTTAGCACAGTCCTGTATCTTGGAGCTGGATGCTGGCACATGCTTTCCCACGGAGAAGCTGTAAGTCATCGAAGTGTTGAGCGATCGAGCGGAGGGAGACTGAGGGAGGCCTCTGTATGACTCAACCTCCTCCCTGCACACATTAATTTAGTTGCGTGGTGGGCCACCATTAGGAACTGGCATTTAAATTAAGCAGGGTTCCCACAACCAGTAAATCCATGTAGGGACTGCAGTCAGCGCTGAGAGCGAGAAAGCTTGCGGTGCCCAGGGCGGCGTGAATTATTTTGCGGCAGGGCCGGGCCGCATTCGGTACTGATGCTTCAGACAAATTCCTGCACAGACGTCTTTAATTCAAAGGGCAGGTCTTTTGCCCTGGGCCACAGCAGGAGGGTCTTGGGGCCCTAAGGAAAAGCAAAGGGGAGCAAAGGCTGCCCATCTTTGAACTGCTCTCAGTGTGTGGGGTAGATTTTGCTTTTTTCTAAAGCGGTAGGTCTGCTAATCAAAACCAGGCACAGAAGACTAATCAGGGGCACTGGAATCCAGTATCTTCTTTATATACGTGCCACAGAGTTACAAATCTGTGTCTGAGTTTCTGTAGATCAGGCATCATAGCACAAAATTCTCAAGGGCAACCAATTAATATTCCCATTTTACAGCTGAGGAGCACTGAGGCTAGGAGGGAAGCAGTTAGCACGAGGCTAAACTGTGGCAGAGATGTTCTTATTTCAAATAGAGCCATACATTTTTCTTGCTGTTTTATCTATTGAAAGCCAGATATTGCTTTCTGATTGACTGCAAGTCACTGACTGAGTTCAGAGACTGAGTATAGCTCGAATCTTAGACTATCCAGCCAATATAACAAACTACTCCCACTCAGCCGAGGAGCAAACTGGGTGACCATTGGTGGTGGACGGTATATAAAAGCTTTAAATAAATAAACAAACGTATCCCAGCACCTTTGCTGCAGCATCTGTCTGTCACAGCAACCCACAATAAAATCTGACCCCTGGTTCAGACAATGCAACACCCCCCATGGGCAAGTACAACCCTACAACAAGCCCCGGGGTTTCTGTGTGGCTTGTTCCCGAACGTTAAGCCCCCCTGGTCCGGATGACCTGGTAATTTAGCAGAACTGGCTTCCCCTTTCAGGTTGTTGTGTTGCAGGAGCCCAGCCAAAATTCTTCCAAATAAGAACATGGACTCCACCCTGACATTACCTTCCCGTCCTCCACCTCGGCTGTTTTCCCCCCCTTTTTAACAACTCAGCCACAGAAGAGCAGGCGCGAATCACGCCGCATCTACGTTCAGCCCCCAGGAAGAAAGCATTTGCTGTCCTCCGCCTCTGTCTGACAACTGTTCCATTTTTTTCTGTCCCAGTCCTGGCCTGTCATTCTCTGTCCCTTCCCGGTGACTCATAGACAATATTTCCGTATTTCCTCCAGCAGCAGTGAATGCCGCATCCCGAAGAAGAGCGCTCTTCTTCTCAGGAGGACCTTTGGAAGTTTCCCAGCCGCCAACGGCTCCTCTGTGGCTGTGGGAGGCAGGATCTGAGCCGCACATGCTTTCAAAAGGGGGGAAAAGCCCTGCGATGGAGGCGTGAGTCAGTGGAAGCAAGAGGCTGGTTGTAGCACGGGGCGAGAGAGGAGGGCTGAGATGTCACTTTGGGGAATGAGTCAGAGAGGAAAGGCTCCAAGCAGGGCTTGAGAGTTAGCGCTGTTCTGCTTAATCTTGCAGACTTCTCCGAAATCAGATGGGTGACATTTGGGGGGTAAGCACCAGCCCTTGTGGCTGCCACTCTGGAACAGGCGGGGTTCGCACAGAGGAGGAAAACACCAATGTTGCAAGCGGGAAAGGAGGAAAAGGGCTTGGCAGTCGTCTTTGAAAGGAAAAGGTGCAGTCGCCCTGCCTTGTCCGTGAGATGTTACGGCGGGTGCAGTTCTTGTTGGAATAGGTGGGAGCTCTCCGTCTGGAAGCCTCGGCTCTCCGAGCACTGCATGATTAATTTCTGCTGCTTTCAGATACATCTTTGCAAAACCCCCGAGAGATCGGTTAGGCTGAGAGGTAGTGACAGGCCAAGGGTGCACGGAGGCCATCTAGTCTGACCCCAGACTGTACCCAGGAAGTCCAGGGCGAAAGCAGCCCTGGTGCAAGGCTAACCAGTCCTCTGCCAATTTCCTTGGAGAAACTTGATTCTGACACTGCACTTCTCTCACCGATCAGATGCTTCTCCACCACCAACTCCTGGCCTAGCCTACCTTTCAGGGTCGTTGTAAGGATCAAACATGTCAAGGAGAAGCATCTATACCAGGCAGGTGCAGACAGCATACCAAAAGGGCGTCCCTTTGTCGCGCGTTGGATTCATTGCAGAAGGAACGACCAGGGACCTGAAGGGGCCCCTTGTGGGGCCATGCTCCAGTCCTTCTGGAACCAAGTCATAGATGCTGTGCTGAACATTCCCATTCCCCAAGCAGGCCCCCCAAAGCATGAGAACTCCCCAAATCACAGCAGGCTCCCCCCAGGGACCAGGTGCTGCACCAGCTCTCCAGGTCCTGCCAGCCGCAACGGAGGAGCATTCCAAAGGGAGCCCTGGAATTTCTCCCAGGCACTTTTGACACCAGCTTAAAAGAGAGAGAGATTTAAAAAATGCATCTCGTTCAGCAATACCAGCAGCCATTCATTCGCACGGGTCCCCGTGTGGCGCTGCCTCCTCTCAGGATGAAGTCACAGCCAAAGACATCTGTTAGCAGTTAGGAGCAGGGGAAATTATTTATAGAACTTCCATCCCTTCCTTGTCTCCACTGGGTGGAAATCCAGTGTGTGTGTGTGTGTGTGGGGGGGGGGGGCTTCATTGTGGCTGTTGCCATTCACAAGCTGAGGGGCCTCGTGTCTTTCCAGGGAGGGAAGCCGAGGAGGTCTTTAAGACCCTCTTAAATTCCATTTCCCGGTGGCTCCCATGCTCCCAACTTCCTGCCCGGAGCCCGCCCTCCTCCCACTCCAGATTTTTTCTCACACTTTCTGCCAAGTGCCAGCAGACGCTCTTACGCTCGCTTTCCATCCGTGTGAAATAACCCTCTCCAGCTGGCAGGTTTTGAAAGAGAGAGGGTTCCAGACTAGCTTTCCAAAGGCCCGTCTTGGACACAGTGGCGGGCCAGTGAATCTCGTGCAAAATCACCCCCTTTGAAGAGGGCCCCAACATTCAGTTGAGGGATTTCCCAGAGTT